TTGGAGTTGGTTGTTCCACTGCGCGAAACTGAACGGTCAATGGATAAATGATGGGCTTTATTGCGCCCATCGGACGCTCAAAGGTCTCTGGGAGTCTATGGGGCAGTGGGCTGGCACGGACGCTTGGCTTCTGCATGATCTGTTTGAGGCGGAGCTGAGCTTCCACTTATTTGAATGACCAGTAGCTGCCACTGATATTGTGACAACTGTTGTTATTGCCATCATTTTCAGAAATACAACCCATTTTCTATGTTGCATATCCTGTTGAGGATTTGAGGGAGCTGGCGGCCTATCCTGGTTGACTTCTAGCAGACTACAGCGTTACTGATCCCCGATCTGGACAGTTGTACAGATGGGCTTAATTAGTTATGCTGAAAATAACCCGTGTGCTAAAATAAAAGCAACAAACTTTGGCCTATTTCATTCATGTCATAAATCTCGATTCAATGATATGTTCTATTTTGATGTAAAAGTGTTTTGAATTTTTTCATACTATATTACATCATGTAACTTGTTATGATTGCAGGTTTTGGACAGGTGTGATACTGGCTTGGCTGCCGTGTACATATCCGATGTTGCTCATCAGTCAAAGGAATGTTCTGGGAATTTTTGTGTGAATGCTCAGACGAAAATTCGAGGGAACATTGGGTGGGAGTGTGTTTTTATTTTATTTTTTTACTCATTCACTGCCGTTGACAGGCTGCTATGTCACTAGCATAAAACAGGGAGGGCTAACAGTGATTGTGTTTATGCCATGACAGCTACCGATGCTTCCCTTTGCGAGCTACTGGCAGCTCGCGATCTACTTAATGGGCACCCCTGCAGTAGATAATACCCAATAATCCATCTGAGTTAAATATGAAACCAATTTTGACATTGAATTTTCAGTTCTATGATGTTACATAGCTGACAAGGTGATTTGGAATTCACAGTCAATTATGGCATACAGTAAATGCAGTTTGATTATGCAAACGTTATTCTCACATCATGTCCAGCTTTAGCTTTATCCATCTTATGAAAGTAGGTTAGCAGCTGCGCCTTCACCAAAGTGGCATTTATTACAGCAACAGTTGTGTCCACTAACATGGGATAGAGAACAAGAACACACAGTTCTAGCCTGTTGTATGTGTAATGTATATGTATTATCCTGTTCATGTAGAAAATAGTTCATCCAGTGCATGTCCTGAACTGTTGCAAAATTGTAAACCCCACTTTTTGGTCATATGACAACTCAAAAGCAAGTTGTGGACAGGTGCAAAAACTATCATCCCTTTTTATTGTTTTCCCAGGACATCTGTCCTCTGAAAATGTGTTGACTCCGCAATCTCCTTCCCGATGGCAGCAGGCCGAAGAGGCTGTGAGATGGGTGGGTGAGGTCACCTGCGATCCGGATGGCTTGGCGGGTCAGACGGGAGTAGTAAATGTCCACGAGTGGGGGGAGAGAGAGACACCAATGATCTTCTCAGCTGCTCTCACGCGAGCTGCAAAGTCTTTTGGCAGGACACAGTGCAAGCACCATACCACACAGTGATGCAGCTGGACGGGATGCTCTCAATGGTGCCTGTATAAAATGTCTGCATGATGGGGGGGTGAGGCTCTTGCTCTCCTCAGTTTGCGGAGGAAGTACAGGCATTGGTTGGCTTTTTTGGCCAGTGATGAGGTATTGTGGCTCCAGGACAGGTCTTCAGAGATGTGCACTCCCAGGAACTTGGTGTTGCTCACTCTCTCCACTGTGGCACCGTTAATGGTCAGTGGAGCATGCTGGGAGTGCGTCTTTCTGAAGTTCACAACAATCTCCGTTGTCTTCTCCACATTCAGGTGGAGATTGTTGCCTTTACACCACTAGGCCAGCCTGCTCACCTCACTCCTGTAGATTGTCTCATCATTGATGTTGATGAGACCCACGAAAGTCATGTCATCCGCAAACTTAACGAAGAGATTGGAGCTGGACAAAGGAGTGCAGTCGTGGGTCAGCAGTGTGAAGAGGAGGGGGCTCAGCACACATCCTTGTGGGGCACCTGTGTTCATCATGATGGTGCTGGAGGTGTTGCTGCCGACCCGAACTGCCTGTGGTCTCTCCGTCAGGAAGTCCAACAGGATGAGCTGCTACGGGATGATGGTGTTGAATGCTAAACTGAAGTCGATGAACAGCTAATGACATACTGACCAACAGGTGTGCAGCTGCAGGGAGAGCCCTACAGTGCCACCTGTTGGTCACAAACCGAAACATGACACCTTCATGTTGTGAGTAAGTTAGTAAGTTAAGTTACTGAGGTGATTTAAGTTCCAAGTTCAGTTCATGCCTATTTAGCTACCCACCGTGGATCGACCGGTAATTGACACCCCTGCCTTTTGGCTCAGCTCCTTTTTCAGCACCACAGACTGATACAGGGTTCGCGTGACTGCAGATGCAGCAGCAAGCCGCCTGTTGATCTCCCACTCCATTCTTCATTTGTGAACAAGACCTCGAGATACTTGAACTTGTTCACTTCGGAGACAGTCTCATCCCTGCTACACTTTTTCTGACTGAGGACCAGAGTCACAGATTTGGAGGTGCTGGTTTTCATTCTGGTGGCATGGTGGACGTTTGATTCGCATGTTCGCCTCACAGTACAGAGATTGTGGGTTTCATTTCGTGCTCCGGCCTTCCTGTGTGGCGTTTACATGTTCTCCCCGTGTCTGTGTTGGTTTTCTCTGGGTCCTCTGGTTTCCTCCCACATACCAAATACATGCATGGAAAGTTAATTGATCATTCTAATTTGTCCTTTGGTGTGATTGTGAGTGAGAATGGTTGTTTGTCAATGTGTGCCCTGCGATTGAATGGAAACCAGCTTCAGTTGTACCCTGCCTACTGCACAATGACAGTTGGGATAAGCTCCAGCATGCCCGCAACCCTAGTGAGGATAAGCGGCTCGGATAATGGATGGATGGACGATTCTCATCCCAATTGCTTCACACTGTGGTGCAATTCGCTCCTATGGGAATTGAAAATTGCAGCTTGGTGAAGCTAAAAGACCCACATTATCTGGAAAAAAACTGAGATGCAATACTGAGGCCACCAAACTGGACCCCTTCAACATCTTGGTTTCGCCTAGAAATAAAATACTGTCCATAAAAGCGATGAACAGAATCAGTGACAGATAACACACCCTTATGTTTGAACAGTGTCTTTACCACATGCACACGATAGTACACCAACTGCTGACTATTTTTTTAGGAGTCTGCCCACATCAAGTTTGAGTGGTCCAAATTCCCAACTTTTGGAGTCTGTCCATCTTTTTGTTTACTGCCCCATCACGGGATTTTTTGACCCAACTTCTGTGCTTGCGGCTCTCCATGGAATACTGACAAATTGTCAACAAAGCGCCGTTTGGATTTTTGTCACTGACATTTCTTCAAACCACAACTATTGTTTTAAATATTTTCTTTATTTATTTCCATCATCATCGAAATTATCTTCTGCATTCATATAACTACACATGTAGGCCACTACTCTACTTAAGATGAATCCTCAAGTGATTTTATATGAAAATGTACAATGCGGGGGGAATCCCACTGCAGGGCTGAGGTTTGCTAATCTGAGGACTGTCCAGCTGGATCAGTGAGCTAAGGCGCATAATATTATATAACTGAGACATGGTGGATTCGATTCTTGATGTTTGTCATCTCGTCGCCTCCTTGTACAACACAATAGAGATCCACATTGTGCATCCCATTTTAAGGTTAAGGAAAGGTAATTCATATTTGTCAGAAAAAAAAAACGATAGAGTGTTCTGAGAAAATGAAAGGGCTTTCGCCTTTTAGCATCTTGACGCCTTGTGCTGCATCTCTCTGTGTATGACCTCTGCCATTGGCCATTCAGTGATGCAGTTTGGATGCAACTTTCGCTTCCCAACAGCCAAAAAGATGAGGTCTGCTGCACTCTGTTGGCGACTTTTTGAAAATGCAACATGTGAAAAGCTATTCTCTCCTCTCCAAGACTCGTGGATCTCAGTAATCTCCAGTGGCTGTTTATTGGCTCACTGGCCAAGAAAATGTCTCCCCTGAGCACATTTCTCAAAGTTAGTCTTAAGGAACATTACTTGCTGTTTATTATATTATGTACCACCCCCAAGCCTATTAATTGACTTGTGCAGCTAGAATGCAGTTTAATATCGAATAAAAAGGTACTATATTAATATACATCATCCTGAAAGGGTTACTGACTTCTGTGCAGCCAGCATGGGTTCAGTTCTCACTCTTTTTGCACCTGTGACTGGTGACCATGAGTTCAGGGTGCAGTCTGCTTTTTGCCGAATTTATTATTGATACTCTCCAGCTCACCATGAGCCTGAACATGATGTTGGTGTGGGATAGAAAATGGATGGATGGACATTATGTTGTATGTTGTGCTTCATGACTAACGGAAGTGTTACCGTCCTATATTTTCGTGGAACTGTTTGAGTAAGTGCTCTATATCAATGACATACTTCAAAACCTAATGGTATGGGAATATATGTTCAACACATATGACTTGTTTTTAAATAACTCAATTAATTATCTATATATCCTTTCATGTTTGAATGTTGCAGAATTAAATCTCTGCAATGTCATACAATTGCTTAGAACAGGAACCCAATTCAAGCCTTTACTCTCATGTCCAACATCACTCTTTGCTCTAATCTGAAATGCCAGGGATTAAACAGACAGCCAACTCCCCATCCGTAATTCTGCCCGTACACCTCCCCCTTCTGTGCTCTCTCATGCACATGCGGAGTTGTGCCAGGCTCGTCATTTTGAGACCATAAACATGATGCTCGAGGGGCAGAGAGAGGAAAGTAGGTGGGATGGATTAGATTAAGTTGTTCCAATTTCAAGCGATCACTCTGCAGTCGGGGTGACAGACAAAATGTGTTTGTGTGAGCAAAAGAGAGAGACAGAGAGAGAGAGAGAGAGAGAGAGAGAGAGAGAGAGAGAGAGAGAGAGAGAGAGAGAGAAAATGTTCAAGTCATGCAATCAGAGATTGCGGGTTGTTTCAGCCCAGATATGTTCAGGCTCTCCAATACTGACCTGTCACTCTTCAGCAACTGTTGGTAATGTTACCCTCCATGTCTTAAAATTCCTTTTATCAGCCTCCGATAACCTATTGGGGTTTAGGATTGGACACAGCACCATGCGGATTGATTGGCTCTACCTGGACCAGTATAAAGTTGGATTGTAGCTTATTTGCCCAAGAGGAAATTTTGCTTGCAGGTGTTCAGCCCCAAAGCCCAGTGATATGCGCAGGATGTAGCATGCTGCTGGATTTCAGACTTGAATGTGGCTATTGAGGACAAACAAAAGCGGCAGACAGGAGCAGTGCTGACTGGACAAAAAAGAGGAAAAGAGGGTGGTGATGGGAAATATCAATAAGACATCTAGAAAAAACAGTACAAAGAGTAAGGTAAGGATGAATGACTGCTTTTTACTGGAAAATGTGCTTTAGTGTATATTTTATACCTTCAAAGAATATTTATCTCGCATTCTCAAGTTTGTTAATATCTTGTGTTCAAATAAAAATGGCAACCACTCATCAGAAGTCTATATTAGATTCTCCAAATTGCATTGTAGTGTTATGTTGAGTCAAATGAATGTAAGATTTTAAATGCATACTTGTGTTCACAAAAGTGAGCCTGCACTGCTGCCATTGATCATTTTAATTGGATCCCCTCTTCTAAGGGGTTGTCTCCTGTGGAACGAAGTGGGTCCCCACTGGCTCCCGCCATGCTCGGGGGCTTGAGAGATGCAGGTGAGATGGACACAGAAGAAGACGAAGAAAGAGGGAGTGAACCGGAGTTCGATGAGCCGCTCTGTGCTCTGGTTAAGAACTGCAACATGTTGCACAACATAGTGGGGCCTGCGTGTGTCTTCCTCAAACAGGGCTTCGCACAGAGCCAGCTCGTATGTATGACTGCTGCGCACACACACTCAGAAGAAAGACAGAAACATCCCTTACCCTGGAAACATCAAAATGATCTTCTCGTCCAGATTTATGTCATGCAGTCTTAATATGTAGCAATCAATAGCGGGCTAGCAGCACTAATTGAAAAAAGGCATTAAGAAGTAAATGTAGTGAGAGATTATGTCTGATTTCCTGAGTTATAGTCCACAGGGACATGAAATGACCTTGAATGTAGAGAAGACTTTTTACGACTGGGCTTAAATATAATATCTTGGCAATATCTGACCCTGTCTATGATTCCGCATTTTATTACACGTTGTTTATGTGGCAGGTTCAAATTTACCGTGAAAGGCAACTTTCAAACCATGGGACAGAACTAATTACTCTGCTGAAAAGTAGAACAATGCCTCATCAGAACCGTCAGTGCCATATACATTATAAATAGTGAATCAACATTTTTTTAATACCATTTATCCTCACTAGAGTCACAGTTTATAGCCTATCACACACTCCATACTGAAAACAAGCATTCACACTCACACCTACAGTAAGGACAATTTAGAATCTTCAATGAACCTAAAAAAATACCAGCGCACAGAGAACATGTAAAGGACAGATCAGAGTGTGCATTCGAGCTGCCAGTCTCAGAACTGTGTGGCAGATATGCTAACGCCTCCATTACTCCGCCGCCGATCCCATCCAGGGGCACGTTACCATCAGCATCTAGCTTGTCATTCAAACACCACTGCGCAGTTATTAAACTCAAAGCCCTCGGGCCAGATCCTGCCCACTGGCACTTTTAAGTGGCCCAGGAAAGCTTATCACAGCTTGTCCTTGACTTCTGCTTAAAATTAGCAATACATTTTTTAAATCACAAAATGCAGGGGCAATTATGTAATATGATGTCTCGGTCATTGGAATTCCTACACAGACATATTAACAAGAAATACAAATGTAATTGTGTGTTCTCACCACACCCCTAATCCCTAAACAAACACACAGAGCATCTTCCTTCTGCTTTGTTTGTATACATTGTGATTTTGTAAAGTAGTGCATTAAAAATGCAGCTTCCACAACCACGGCACACCAAACTGCAAATTTTGGTGTACTGTGACATCTCTTGTAATTATCCTGGACATTTACGCAACTAGCTGCACGGTCTGTGTTTAGGCTTCACAGGTCTAAGTTTGAGAGTTCCAATCCATTGACAAGTTCTCCATGTGTTTGCCAAGGTTATTATAATTTCACAAAAGTAAGAAAATAATAATGAAAATTATATCATTCATTAGCTTTCAGAGTTTATTTCAAATGTATGTACAGAAGAAGAAAGGTCAAACAGTTGTTTGGTAAATGTAGCTTACTTTATTACATATGTATTGTTTTATCTTTCAAATACTCCATATATTGGAAAATGAGGACTAAAACAATCACTCATAAAAACCAAACTAAAATGAAGCAATTTCACAAGGTTCAAACATGAATAAAAATCCTCTCTGAAACTAACTGAAATGTATCCATCCATTCATCTTCAAGGATCGCAGAGCGTGCTGAAGCCTATCCCAGCTGTCTTCGGGCTGGAGGCAGGGGACACCTTGAACTAGTTGCCAGTCAATCGCAGGGCAATAACTGAAATCCCGTCTTTGATTTTTTTTATTGAGTTTATTTTCTATTACTTTTTTTCATGGGTGCAGGAAATGTTTTTGCCTCACTTGGGTCAGGCAGGACAATTCTTCCCCTTTGTGCTCAGTGGTTTATGCATGTCAATTTCTTCTGATTTTAATTTTGGAGTAATAAGTATCAAAATCTTATGGGCAATGTATAGCAGGAACAATAGGCTATACATTTTTTTTAGAAAATGTAAAGGCACACAAGTAAAATTTGCCATGAAATATAATTACCGGTATTCAAGTAAAGATGAGTAAAAATCCCAAATATTTACACTCCATTACTTTACAAGACTACCACACTGTAGTATTAATACAATATATGGTCGTTCGGTAGTGGCCTAATTGTATTTATGCTTCGTTCAGAACAAGCCCGATTTGTAATGTAACAGCAAGGCTGAGCATGAAAGAACCCAAATCAATAAAACAAGATACAAAATGTAATCCGTGTCAATGTTCATATTTATTGATCACAATTGAATCTAGAACCATACATGTGAATGCGTGTCCAGCGTGCAGGTGAATTCATGTCCGTTTAATGACGCTGCAACTGACAAAATTGGTTTGGGATGGAAAAATGAAAAAAGCGATAAGCTTTCGTGATTTGTAATACAATTTAGGGCTGTAATCTCCTTGTGTTGTCCCCTCAACAACCTCTAATCCAACTCTGTATTATTCCTGTTGATGATGGCACGGCCTTGCAAAACATATCGTGAACAGATGTATCCTTGTGTCACCTCAACACCCCGTTACACACATTTTTATGTTTTTAGGATTTAAGTACAATAAACATATGAGGGTTTTTTTTTCTCTGAGAATTTTTTGATATGCTGTATCCCTTGTCAATTTAGGTCATTGATAATTTTTCAGACAGCTTTGATAATTACTTTCCCAGGTGAGTATAATCAAAAGTACAGAATAGTCAAATGCCTTGTAAGCGATATGTAAACACTGGATATTTCAAGATAATCATCATGCATTATGTGCATTTGCATTCGAATTTGATTTAGGATGAACAGATGTAGTGACTTTTTCATGGATGAGCAGTGGACAAATGTCCTTCTCCTTCCTCCTGCAGTCCACAATCATCTCCTTTGTCTCGTATTCAGGATGAAGTTTTTCTATTGATACCACACTGACCACCTCATCCCACTACACTGTTTCAACCCCCCACCGCCCTCAAGAGATGAGCCGTGCCACAGTAATGTTGTTGTGGTGGATGGTGCATGAGTATAGAGGCTGAAATGCATCAGTACACACCCCTGGCGGAAGCCGGTGCTGAGGTTGATGGCTTAGGAGAGGTGGGAGGCCTACTTTAACCTTCCGGGAGCGGTTCGTCAGACAATCCAAAATCCAGAGGCAGATCAAATTCAAATCACCCACGCCCAACAGCTTATTCGCCAATCTGCTGGGAAGGGTGCCGAGCTGGTCAACAAAGAGCAGACGGGCAGAGCTCCCTTGGTGCACCAGGCGGGACAGAGCAAAGTGGAGGGATGTAGCTACAGCATCTTCCATGGACTTGTTGGCTTGATAAGCAAACTGGTGAGGGTCAAACTCATGGGAGAGATATGAACTGGTGTGGGCCTGGACCGGTTTTTCAAAACACTTTATGGCTATGGGTGTCGGTGTCAATAGATGATCATCATTCAGTCCACTGTTTCTCTTCTTCTTAGGGAGGGGGATGCTGGTGGAAGGCTTCAGGCAGGAACTGACAATTGCCTGGTTTAGGGACCGGTTGAACAAATGAACAAACACAGCACATGCCAATAATTTGAATATAGTGTATGTGTCAGTCAGCTGATGTTTTCAATGAAATACGGCTCTATTTTGGCAAAAGCAGCCGCATCTTGATTTTTGTGGTGAGGCGAGTCTAGTTTACCATGTTTGGGGATTTACCAGATGGCCCTGATCCACACTGGGCGTTCTTTTCCACGAGGCACACCTGTCAATTTGATGGCAGAAAATAGGCTCATCTGAAAACCAGTAAAAAGCAAGTCTAAGTTGTGGTGCTGGGGTTGTACCACGATCGTGGTGGTTTTGAAAGAAATTCATGCAGACAAATTCTGCACTCCGCTAAAATGTGTGGTGGATGTCATTTTATTTCATTCATAAATATGACAATAAGGTTCATAGAACCCTCTGAATCACTGCACACTTCAATTCATTCAACTCATTATTATTATTATTATTATTATTATTATTATTATTATTATTATTATCATCATCATCATCATATATTGGAAAACTATGGGTCGGGGAGGGGGGCCGGGATAGAGGGTTGTTACACATGAACACACTATCAGGGGTGCTGTACAAATACCCACTTCACAGCAGCCATCTTTTCATGATCAGCCAGTGGCATTCTTCTTACGGTTCCTTGGAAGCACACATTCAGATAGAGTTTTGTGGTCAATAAACCACTCCACATTTTTCTGACATGTACTCTATTTGCATGTATGATTGCTAAGCTTTTCTCCCAGTTTAGTGTCAGTATTGTCCATTTTGTGTTTGCATAGTCTAATCAATGTAACTGTTTGTCCTCTCTTTCCTCTTGTTTTCATGCATGATTTGACCTCAATCTACACCCTGTAGGATCGAGACCTGCGGCCTGAAGAAATGGAAGGTATAATTGCTCTCGTAGAATCATTGCATCTCTTCCCTCACCCTCTCTTTCCTTTTGATCTAATCAATTGATTGGGAGCAGGAGAGCTTTTCTGACTTTGCCCTCACTTTAACATATCCCATTGTGTGCAATGAAATGTGATTTTCATGTCAGGACGCATAACTGGAAGAGTATTACACTATTTTTATCATAAACATTATTGTAGAAAATAACATGTAAAAGAAGGTGAGGATGGCATTTTCCCTGAGATTATTTTCACATTGTGTTTGCAAAATAGATGTACAGCATACTCCACGTGCCAACACAACAATCATGGTTGTAAAGACATATAAATGCAATTGCAGTTGTATGTTAGTGGTGCAGTGGCAAATAGGATTCCAAAGTGATTTATATCCTGAATGTGTAAATATTTTCAAGAGAGAGGTGCAGAGGGGTGGATACTGTTCCAGGAAGCAAAATATACATTCAAAAATGCATGATTCCCACAGAGTTGCGTGAGGCATTCAGAGAGTTTGACAAGGACAAGGATGGCTTCATCAGCTGTAAGGACCTTGGCGAATGCATGAGGACTATGGGATACATGCCAACAGAAATGGAACTGATCGAGCTCAGTCAGCAGATCTGTAAGTCCAGAAAAACTGCTCATTGAAAAAGTGAAGATTGAATTCAGAAATTATACGAAAGTCCTCTATTGCCCAATATATATCATGTCTAATATGTTATTTGTGACTTCATAATTAAGTGGATGATGCCCCCCCCCACACACACACATTATTTTATGAAACAATTAAAAAATGCTCAAATGTTATCTGCCAATAATGTCGGCCTAACACATTTGACAACAAAAGGTGCACATTTTAATGAAATGTATAAATTGATCGGGCTTTTGCTTGACAATTTCTTGTTTTTTTTTAAACTGACTTTACAAAAATCTTTGCATTTTGTATTTCACTTTGGGAGTTTTTATAATTTCCCCTTTGGTAGTTTTATAATTTTATAATATGAGCCTCTACCAATTTGTTGAGATGTCACTTGATGGTTAAAAAAAAAAACGAACCGTTTAGGTTCTATAAGTTCTATCAAGTCAAAACAAGTTAAAAATGTTAAATAACTATTTTAACAACGTGGAAAACGATACGGTTAAGCTGTCATTTATGTACATTTATGTTCTTATTTGTCGAACAAGTCGTCTGAGGGCGAACTGTTAATGGGTAAACATGCTGGAACATATGTACCGGATTTTCCTGTTTGTTGGCCTCCAGGTGGCGGCAGAGTAGACTTTGAAGACTTTGTGGAGTTGATGGGTCCAAAAATGCTGGCTGAGACAGCAGACATGATTGGGGTCAAAGAGCTTAGGGACGCCTTTAAAGAGGTAAGCATTCCGGATGCCGCTTCCACAAGTCGTCCATTATTTGTCTCTGATATCACCATCATTGGTGGGATTCTTGCCATTTGGCATTCTTTTTTTTGTCATGTTCCCAGTTTGACTCTGATGGGGATGGTCAGATCAGTCTCGGGGAGCTGAGAGAAGCCATGAAGAAGTTGATGGGAGAGCAACTCAACCACCGTGAGATTGATGAGATTCTGCGTGATGTCGACCTCAACGGGGATGGAGAAGTGGACTTTGAGGGTGAGTGTGTCCATATACCCACTCTATTAGACATGCTTCAGGGGTGTCCATTATGTTGCCCATTATGTTGATCGCGATCGACCGATAGATCACGGACTGGTCCCAAGTCGATCGCGAGGGGTGTAGAGGAGAAAAAACAACCCACCATTTGTGTGTCTTTGTGCATGTTAGTAATATATTTTTTTGTGTTAATGTACACTGCACCCTAATCATCCTATCAGTCTCATTTTCACAAAAAGTATTAAAAAATAAAATAAAATAACTCAGGTAAATCTTTAACCATCGGTGGCGCGTGACCTGCGTCATCGGAAGTTGTTAGCGCTCAGTTGTCTGCAATTGCAGCTTGTGATCAGAGCTCTTGCACTTTATCGTTTATCGTTATCATTATTCTCATTCAGAGTTTGTTTTGTGTACAATTCACCAAAGGCACGGGCAAAGAATAGGAATCTAGAGGGCCAAGGGAAGCACTTTAAAATGGTACGTGTGAGCTACGATAGTTAACAGGATTCAAAAGTGTGCTGCATGCCTCCGTGTCAGGCTGTTGCTCATCATGGCGTGCGTGTGTATGTGCGTGCGCGTGCGTAGCAGACCGTCGTGGGAGGTTGGTTGATCGAAAAGTCGATCTTCGGTCCAAAAAGTTTGGGCACCCCTGTTGAATCTGCTCTCTTTCAGAAATTAATGTTCATATATATAATATAAATCCTCGTCTCACCCCTCGGGTGGTGTCCGTCCCCCATTCAGCTCGGGTCCTCTACCAGAGGCCAGGAAGCTTATATGTGTGTGTAGCCGGAGAAAAGCCACACAGGCCTGGGGAGAACATGCAAACTCTACACAGCCAGAAATGGAATTGAACCCGGTACCTCTGCACTGTGAGGTCAAAGCACTAACCACTGGACCACATCGCCGCCCACATATAATACATATAACATATAATAAGTAATCGTAATATTTATGAATTAAGGGTTCAGCAAGCATTTGGAATGTGTTTTTTCCTGGAAGTTCATCGCTATAAATTTCAACTCATGATAAAATCCGTCAGATTTTCAAAATTCAGTTTGAGATCAAATGAAAACTAGCCTCACTCTTGATCCAAATATTTTCTTTCCTCAGAGTTTGTGCGAATGATGTCTCGCTGACCAAACCGTCTTTGCTGCAATGAATGGGGACCGGACTACACACTGTTTCTTGTAATTGTACTTCTTGTTATATAATAATGTTTGTGTCCATCCTTTCATTCTGTAACAACTGTACGAGAACCCTCTACATGTGTTACTATTGTGTGACGTAATGTGACTGTTGAGACAGGTCAATGGATGATGTGAAATAGAAACGCGGTTGAACAAGAAGAGGTATGACAATCGCTCAAACCCTCAGCCTTGGGTCAAGTATTCAAAGTAGAATGCAATCGAATGAACTGATTTTGTTCAAAACACAAGAAAAGCAAAATATATTTTCATAAAACGAACATGCTGCTTACAAACATCTTTCTCATGATTATTATTCTTATTGTTTTTAATAAGAATAATAATCCTTTGTTGACACAACACAATCTGGATTTTGACACAAAGTAAATGTGGTAATGAGTGTTTCCAATCCAATACTTTACTGAACCCCAGTTAAAATAAAAGTGCATTGCACTGCCTGATTTTCTTTTTAGGTTGACAATCGTATAAAATATTTATGAAATGTATAATTTAATCTACTACGAAGGGTCCTGAGATAAAATGTCTTCACGGTAGAAAGTAAAGCAAACCAAAAACATCTAAATTCTAAAATAGATCACTATTATTTACTGTGACAATTGGTTTCACTCAACATTTTACTTTAAATGAAAACAGTTTCTTATTAGGGGGATGATCTAATTGTTGAAAAAAAGTTACAAATTAAAAAATTAAATAAAATAAAAGCTCATTATGACAAATGACTGCTTGTATGATCCTACGATCCATTTAGCAGAATTTAATGATTTTTAGTGACACTGTCAGATGGCATTGTCTCAAGTAATAATTTTTTTAAGTGTTTCAAGAAACGAATGCTCTATTTTTTACAGTGTTTAATACCTTAGTAATATATGCATTTTCAAATGTGAATACAAATAAAACACTTTGTCCAACGGATTCGTATTGGCTGTCCACCATTTTGTTGCCTCATTTTGAGTAGATGCATGACATGAAATGACCTTTGATCCTTATAAACGTTATGAAGGCACACAGCAGCTCGTTTTCTTCATACGCTTGCCTGGGAATCCATCCTGAATGTCTCACGTCGTTTTATTGTCGTTGCTGTAATCTCTGACCCTCGCTCTCGCTTAATGAATAGCAACTTTAAAACTTCCTAAATCCCCAACTTCACTGTCGATGAGTGTTGTGCACATATAAATCTTCCAGAACAGATCTAACGTTTCAGGAATTCATTTCCTCTTAAAGCACTTGAAGAAGCTGGCATTTTTATGAAGATTTGTTCAATAAAGTCGGCAGAGAAGGTAGAAAGTGGGCAATACCCAAAACGTACAACACAGCATCTGCTCATGCGTATGCTTACCAGGAGGGGGCACTACTGGCAAGCACAAGGCTAAACAAATCACGACTTGATCAATCAAGAACATGAATGGCTTCTGTTGAATAAGCCACACCTAGATGTAAGAGAAAAAATATCAACCGTTTTTAAATCAAAAACATTAAATATTGCGGACGCCACATGTATTACCTCGGAGAAGATGAAAAACAAAAACAACATGAGCAAAGATCAAGTTCAGGATACATTGAGGTGACGTCTTTCTGGATTTATATTGGACGTCAACAATCAGTCTTTGCACACATCAAATATTGCTATGGTGACAGTATTCGCCCAGAGGTTAACAGAAACATACACATGATTCTCACTTCATCATAATCATTTCTTTTTTTTTTTTAATTTTGCACTTCTGAGTCAATGCTAAAGTTCATTGGTTTTTTTTTGTTGTTTTTTTTTTTTACTAAATGATAACACTGAACTGGAATCACAGTCATTTAGCTTACAATAGACAACTTCATGATAAACATGTTTTCAACAAATCAATAAATTATATGAATATTATTTTCTTCATGTTTGAGCTGAATATATAATTGTGGTAGCAATGCCACTATTTTTTTGTTTATGTATTCTTTTTTTTTTTAACACTTAGCAGTGACACTACGGAAATCATTGTTGCTTTTGTCCAGTACTTAAGGCTGAAAAAGACTAACTGGAAATGCATTTAGGTACACCTTCCATAATGTTGACTGCCTTAATTATAAATAGGGTAGTAGTTAGCACGTAGCCTCAAAAATCAAGAGAGTCCCCTCTTAAACAAACACAATTCAATCACTCATATATCACCCGATAAGTAATTACTCATTAAGGGACTTATTCTTCCCGCAGCCTATGGAGTGTGCAACAGCAAACATGCTTAAGTCTTAGGTGAGATCCAGTATTAATAGGGAATAGCATGAGGACCCACTGCACATTTCACGCTTTTAACAAGAATCTATTGGTGCGCCCAAACCCAAAGTATGTCATCACTTGAGATGCTAGCGATAAATGAATACATGTAAAGTTGTCTCAGTGCAGACTCAGGGAGCAATGCAACATGGGGCAACTTGGCACAGGTGGTACAATGTGCATTGGTTACAGGTTTGTTTCTCAGTTGCCTTGGCCCTGATGAAGTATCTTTTTGCGAAACACAACCAGGTGTGCATGGTCATTGTTTGAATTACCCAATAATTCTCTTCCATGGATGTCTCCTTTTAACGAGATCCCCCCATTAACGTCAACAGTTTAAAAGTAACAGAAATGGACATTTAGAGCAGGGGTCCCCAACCTTTTTTGCCCCACGGACCGGTTTATGTCAGACAATATTTCCGGGGACCGGCATTTAAGGTGTGGCGGAAATAATACAACAAAATAATATGGTATGAGCTGCATGGAAACTGTGGTGTTTTCGAAATATAATAATAAACACAAGGAGCGTCTAATCTGGCCGCAACACTCTCTCTGATCGCTATGGTAATGTTTAATGCCTTCAAAATACGTACAACGCAAATTCAAAGTGCATGACAATGACGACTCACCACAGCCCCGAGCTTGATTTTCTGCAACCAGACGGTCCCATCTCGGGGTAATAGGAGACAATGACACCTCAAGTGTGTCCAGTCTACTTCGTAATTTTGTTTTAGTCGCCGTTGCTGCAGAAAACCCCCTCCTCACACAGGTAGCATGTCGGAAATAGCAACAGTGCTACTGTGGCGATCTCAGAATATTCAGCCATAACTTTAATCCAGTTGTCTCGAACGTACTTTTAAGGCCGCCGTCATTTGCGCTCTCCAGCACTTTTATTACTCATTTTGCGAGCTCTAGCGTTTTGTTTTTAGCGTAATCGGTCACGTGACGAAGAAGCGCGGCTTGACATGTGTCAAGCGTGACACAGACGGATGTAACGGAGAATCCGGTAATTTTTCAAAATAAAACATCTTTCATATTCCGAAATAAATGAAACGGAATTAAGGCAAGTTCTTTCTGTGCGGCCCGGTACCAAATGCCCTGCGGACCGGTACCGGTCCGCGGACCGGCGGTTGGGGACCCCTGATTTAGAGCATTCAATCAACCTACCATGCATGTTTTTGGAATGTGGGAGGAAACCAGAGTACCTGGAGAAAAGCCACGGAAGTACAGAGGGAACATGAAAACACCACACAAAAATGCCGGAGCCAGATTCAAACCCTCAACCTCTGCACTGTGATGCAGACGTGCTAACCAGTCAACAACCGTGTTGTCTGATGGTTTTACCACTGGGTTTAATAAACAATATCTAACAGAAATGAGTGTGTGTGATTTGTCATGTCTATTTCAGTGCGAATAATCCTGGTTGAAAGCACATTTATATTTGAACATGTATTTGCATTTAAGTTGTGTCTGGCTTGAAGTTGACGCTTTATCACAGACATTTATTGATTATTGTTGTGGTATTTATTTGTTGAGGAAGATTTCACATTATGCATTTTCATGTATTCTATGAAAAAGAATACCCCATGTCATTCAGAATCAAATAATTGCAAATGTATACATCCATGATTAACATAAGGAAGCAAAAATCTCAAAACAGAAAACAACAGCAGAGCATTGAAATGTACCTCCATAACACTGAGTATACTCTGTGAATTAAGCTGCGGATATGAACCACAGTTCAATCTTTAGAGGAAGGCCTCATTAATTTTAAATACATGGTTTGTTTGACAGTAATCAATTAGTTCAGCTTGGAAAAATGCATAAGAGCTGACAAATACATTAAACAGTATTGATATATTTCACTTTTTTGGTAACATTTTCAACACACGGGGAGGTGCATGATGGGTCCAATGAGACATCCATCCATCCATTTTCCAATTCGCTTTATCCTCACAAGGGTTGCGGGGGGTGCTGGAGCCTATCCTAGCCGTCTTTGGGCAGTAGGCGGGGTACACCCTCAATAGGTTGCCAGCCAATCGCAGGGCACACATAGACAAACAACCATTCACGCTCGCAATTATACCAAGGGACAATTTAGAGTGTTCCATTAACCTGCTATGCATGTTTTTGGAATGTGGGAGGAAAGCGAAGTACCTGAAAAAACCCCACGCAGGCATGTTGAGAATATGCCAACTTCACACAGGAAGGCCGGAGCTGGAATCGAACCCCGCATCTCTGCACTGCGAGGCAGACATGCTAAGCAGTCGCACACTGTGCCGCCGCCTCCCAAAGAGACATAATGTGCATAATTTACTGCTGGACAGGAGACAAATTTTGGATAATGAGGAGGTCGTAGAAATAATGAGGAGGAAACTCACCACAAAAAGCAAAACAAAACAATGCTATAATGCAGAGCAAAAACTTGAAGGGGTCGACCAGAAACAGTAAGCAAGTTACACACTCGCATGTCATTCCACAAAAGGTTTACTTAGGCAAGTTTTGTTAAGACTTTGTCTGCACAAGAACAGGCAGGCACGCATGTGTGTGCGATGAACATTTCCAGGACAAAAAGAGATACAATATTTACAGTTGGAGAGGAGACGCGCTACAAAGGTAACATTAAAAACAAATGCCATGCCGAGTATTTTTAACATGCACGAAGTGGGAGAAGAGTTCGATTGCCCGAGGGAGAATCTGTTTTCTCTCAACCCTTTGCAATCTCCGGTGAGCGCAGGTGTAATGGGCATTATGTCTTGCAAATTAAGCCACTGAGACACTAGACCAGTGTTTCTTAACCTGGGTTCAATCGAACACTAGGGGTTCGGTGAATCGGTTTCAGGGGTTCAACGGAGCCTCTGCCATGGAGGTTAAGGCACACCCAACTCAACATGTCAATGAGTTATGACACGCCCGCTTGGCCAGCACTGGCTGGTTCATTTTGTGCACTATTTAAAAAAAACAAACTTATGTCTTGAAATTGTATTTACCAGTAGTTTTTTTTCTGTTTTTAATTCAATGCATTTTTTTTATGTCTTGAAATTGTTAAAAAAAAAAAAAAAAAAAAAAATCATATTTTTATTGTTCACTAATGAAGGGTTCGGGGAATGTGCATATGACCTGGTTGGGTTCAGTACCTCTAACAAGGTTAAGAACCACTGCACTAGACCAAAAGCAGCCCTCTCATGTTCATGCAGGTAATATAGGAGGACATTAATTACTGCATTCTCCATGAGTATGTAGTATGTATCTCACATGGCATTTCTTTTTAATGTTGCGAATGGTGTCCATATGTGAAGTTTCTTTCGTACTGTACATTCTTTTTAAGGTCCCCTTTTAAGATCCCCTCTTTTGTTAAATGTTTCCCAAACTCAAATTCAATCATTCAAATATCACCTGGAATCTATTACACATTGAGCGCCATATTCTCCTGAGGGCCCATGAGTTTTGTTTTGTTTTTTTGGGGGTTTTTTTGCCTGGTATGCGAATTTTAAAGGTCCGCCAATTCTCCCATCCAAACTTGTGTAATGTAATTATTTGTACGCAACCACCAAACTTGTTGACTCGTTGTATTCTGAGAGTATTCCTAGTTGCTAGATGGTGGACTTTTTAGAAGAAAAGTGAATTTTATAGAAATCCATTTGTAAAATATGTTGAACTCTCAAGGGGAAGTCAGTCCCAAAAATGTTATTTACAATACAATGGTTTATGTGGCCAGTCTAGTCTAAAATCTGTATTCTGATGAATAATTTTGGAATATGAATTAAGATGCAAAATCCACCAATTTTTATCCAATTCGGGGGGAGGGGGGCATTTTTCCACTTGCCAATCACGGCTCAGTTTCAGAAAACAGGTGAGCTATGATTGGTCATTACTTGAACCCTGAGAAACTGTGATGTCATTTTCAGTCAATCGCATTTTCAGTCAATCTTAAGTGGCAAAATGTCCGCCCCAGATGGATAAAAACAGGCGTATTTTGCGACTTAACTCATATGACACAGACACAATATTTATGTTTATACTATGATATTGTATGCAGCCCCACTAAAGACATTTTTGGAGTTGACTTCACCAATAAATGTGACATTAACTTGCATAGTAGATCTAGAAGTGACTGTATATTAATCATTCCCAATTACGTGTCTGCCAGTTATCTAACAGGCTACTTTAGAGGATCATGTGTTTTTGCATTCTGTAGTTAATAAATCTAGTAAAAACTAATTTGATCAAAATAATGTGCTCATGAATAAACGCATGTTTGGAGCTGTTGCAATAGTAGAGAAGAGAGTTAGCCAGCCACAGGTGGTGCCCAGCAATGTGTCATGCCACACACCGGGCTCGTGATACCCAACAGATTGTCAAATCCAAACAAATGATTCAAAATCCAACCCATCATCATTACATTATTATTATTACATCAAACTCCAAGTCAGTAGCTGCGCTGTCACGGACGCAGGTGATGGAATCAAAGTAGGCAATATGATGTTTGACTTTTGCAGAATGTTAGACTTACTACACACTCTGGTGTGTGCAACAGAACATCTGCTGAAGCCTTTGGGAAAATGCGGTCCAGGCAAGATATAGTATAAACAGGGAACAACGTCATTTTTAGTTGCTCCACCCTGACTGTGTACTGTCCATGAAGGTACCAAAGTGACACGCTTAAGTCGATGGGATGAGCTGTGCAGCCAAAAGTGTTGCAGCCGCATGCCTTTTTTGTCTTCCGCACATGGGAGAATATGCCCCAAAGGATCTACATTTCACAAACCCAATATCTCTGTGAACTACATTTTTCATCATTCCATTCGGCGTTTCCTGAACTACGATACCAAAACTCCCCGCAGTCCTGGTTGCCATTGTAACTGTTTGGTTGTCCATCAGCCCAATACCTGCAATGTTGAGAGAAACAAAAAATATATATAAATATTTAAACAGAGAGAGCGAGAGAGAGAGAGAGAGACAGACAGACAGACAGACAGAGAGACAGACAGATAGAGACAGAGAGTGTGTATGCGCGGCCCGGTGGTCGACTGCTTAGCGCGTTGGCCTCAAGTGCAGAGGTGCAGGGTTCGATTACAACTCTGGACTTCTTGTGTGGAGTTTGCATGTTATCCCCATCCCTGCATGTGTTTTTTCCGGGTACTCCGGTGTCCTCCCACATTCCAAAAACTTGCATGGCAGGTTGATTGCGCACTCCAAATCGACCCTAGGTGTGATTCCAACTCCAACTTTTCCTACTCAGGAAACTGAGGTCTTTTGGGGTTCAGGGGTCACTCCTTAAGACTTTCTATAACTCGGTGGTGGCCTCGGCCATCCATTATGGCATTGTCTGCTGGTCAGGCAGCATCTCGGCCCGGGATAGGAAGAGATTAGAGCGACTAGTCAGGAAGGCTGGTTCTGTCCTGGGCTGCTCCCTCGACACTCTGGAGGAGGTGGGCAACAGCAGGATGCTAGCTAAGCTAAAAGCTATGTTGGACAGTCCCCCCCCCCCCCTCCAGCCAGCCCTGACAGCACTCGGTAGCTCCTTCAGTCAGAGACTGTTACACCCGCGTTGCAAGACGGAGAGATACCGCCGCTCGTTCCTACCGACTGCTGTCAGGCTGCTGAATAAAAAATGAATAAATAAATAAAGCATAGAATTATTTAAATGATATGACAACATATGTGAATAGTACTGTGACTATTGTATTATATTGCACTTAATTATTGACCTTATCCATGTTTGTATTTATATTGCACTTAATTGAACTGGGGTTTCTTTTCTCTTCTTTCTACCCACAATCTTGCTGCTGAAGGCTGTAAATTTCCCCAGTGTGGGACAAAGCGCACTCCAAATCGACCCTAGGTGTGATTGTGAGCGCGAATGGTTGTTCGTCTCTGTGGGCCCTGCGATTGGCTGGTCATGGACTAGCGGACCCTTCCTAAAGCCCGATGACAGCTGGGATATGCTCCAGCATGCCCCATGATCCTTGTGAGAATAAGCGGATCAGAAAAAAAAACATACGACATAACTCCCAGAAGAGCGAGCTGCTTCTTATTTCTATGAATGTGTGTGTCGTGTGTGCTTGGTGGGTCTGCTGACCGGAACCGGCGGCTTGTTTGTGGTGTTGAATCACATAGTGGAACAACATGGGAGGAGGGGCAAAGTATGCCTGCTCAGTGCTGAGACAGAAGCGATGAGTCCGGCAATCGAGCTATCCCTGTTTGACAAGAGCGAAACTGAAACTGCTCTATCGATCTCAAATCGCTTATATTTAACCAATATTGCGACTGACTCGGTAATATCGACATTTGGATGGATCCGCGCATTCCTGTGAACCATGCTTCAATAAGCATTTCAGAAATTCCATCCCTCGACACCCGGGTCGGAGCCTCGGCACCATTTGGCCAATCGTTAACCTTGGGTTGTAGACCATCGACACCACCAATAAGCCTTGTTCATTGTGTTTGACAAAGCAAGATGAGAAAATATTTTTTTACTTACGATAGGGTCATTGCGGTCCCATCCACCCACTTCCATTGACCCTCTACTCCCTCATCGGTCAATCCAATCCAGACCTCTTTGTTAATTGAAAACAAGCCATTAATAAATACCTAGAAAAAGAAAGGCAACAGTAATATCATTTGTTTATACATCATATAGCACTGTCCAACAAAAGGCCTGCCAATTCTTTGTGAAATGATGGAAACCAAGTCTAATCTGACACACAGTGGAGGGTGAGTCTTTGGCTTCCAGGTTATAGAACATCCTGCGTTTTCATCTGACAAATGCAACCTGTTGTGAGTTCTGTGCTATGAGCTCTTATTTTGAAATGGTTGTAGTTTTGTTTCCTGTGCTGGTCTTTGTCTTTGTTTTCAGAGCTGACCGTGCTCAGGTGTGCTGAGCTCCTCGCACAGCTGTTCCCCATTACTTATCACACCCAGTATTTAGGTTCTGGGCAGACTTCCACCTCATTTAATGTCTTGTCACATCTCATGTACGGAGTGTATACGTGCACCTTCTGGCTAACCAGTATCCCCCAGTCTTTTTCATCATTCTGAGTTTTTTTTTTTTCCCCCCAATCCTTTGTTGTACATTATATCAAGTGTATACTCGGGATTTTCTTTTAATAACGTATTTTTGAGAGCTTATTCCTTGGTTCTCCCAGTTCTTTACGTTTGCACTCATTTCCTCTTTGGTCTTTTTACAGCCTCACATGTCTAGATCCCAGTCGTTGCCACGCCAAGTCTTACTTTGTTTCTTTATTTCGTAAAGTTTATTTGTTACTTTTCACTCTACTCTCATCACTCCACCCCTGTCTTAATTTCTAAAAAAAATAATCTCTTCAGACAAGTGTGTGTCGGAGCTGTATCTCTGAATCTTTTGTCACAGTTATATTGGCTCTGAGATTTTATGGATTTAATTTTCATTTTAGCGCTCATATTGTCTTTTTATGTAAAAAGGTTTTGGGCATTTTTTTTTTCTTCTTCTCCCAACTATGCAGTGTATTGTGACCCTTGTTGCTTGCTTGCTGTACTTTTTTTCAAAGCACTTTTCACACAAGTTTCCAGTAAAACACAACTGTTTAACCATGCGATTCACTGAGCGTCAAAGAAAGAAAAGTGTTCTAGAGTACAGAATGAACCCACCATTTCTGCTTTGCTGTTTATGATGACCAGGTCGGCTCCCTTTCCTTGACAGTAGTTTCTGCTCAGGTACCATGTCTTCTTTGAAGTAGAAGTGAAGTAGCAGCTGTTCTCAAACTTCTTCCAGCCGCTTTGGCACACCTTGTCTGTCATAGAATATTTAGATTGATAGAAAAAAATATGACAAGTAATGGAAATATTGTAAACATTGCCTATAACTTACCAGTAATTACCGTGCAAACAATGAATCCAGAGATTTATCAAACAATGAGAAAGTGACCAGTAGTGTGGTCATTACATTACAAGGACAGTTGTGCAAATGACGCAGACGTTTTTTGACGTTTTGGAATCAGCAAAGTTTTTAAAATTAAAACCGATGAAACCGCATTCAAACGAGGTTATTTGGGGTTACCATTAATTAGAATGGGTTTAAAATATCGTATCAAAATCGGCTTCATCGTATCGAATTGTATCATTCAAAAAAAGTGATGTATCGTTAGACTTTATATCGACACGTATCGTGAACACACTCTATTACATACACATACAAACGTACCTTCATATAAGTGTATTAAAATTTACACATACCTTCTCATTCATACACATTTGTGTGTGTACGTAGCACCACACCATTGACAATTCATTGTCCATCACTCCATTAGGCAGTGTGTAGAAACCATCCTCTGCGTTTTTAACAATCTTTTAAACTCCACTTACTTTAAATACTGTTGTTGGGTATCCCAGGGGTCCATAGACTGCGAGTGGCTGGGAGGAAAATGTGTGCGCCTCCAAAAGGCACAGTCTATGAAAAGCGTTATGTCTGATAAACGTGATCGATCGGCTGCCTGCATTTGTCTGCCACTGCCACTGTAAATGTCCTTTTTTTTCTGTCTCAAAGGAAAAACATGAAACCTAACATGGTTAAGAGTGTTGTCTGAAAAATGACAATACTTAGTGGTGCCATATGGCATTTTGATAACAAAATGGATGAGAAAACAAGTCAAAAATGAACAGTGGCATGTTGCACGACGTGTTACGTCTTTGTTATCAAGTGCCTGCCTAAAACTGGTTAAGGGTGTGTCGTCTTAAACCTTTTTCCTGGAATCAGCATTGATATTTGCACTTTTATGTTTGTACACACTGCCTAATCGAATGATGGACAATGTTGTTGTTTTTTTGGGGGTGTTGTGTTGCTTTTATCATGGACTGTACACGCAACACATTTTCAGCATTTTTCCACCCCCATTTCATTTCTCTTTCTGTGAATACATATTTACAAAAACAAATATTTTCCCAGGGTGTGCACCGTATCTATATATCCATACTCTTTACATGCAATGTATCCGCACACATATTAATACACATATGTCCTTTTCACAATGTCTGAAAAGGGATAGAAAGTGCAAAAGTTTCCTTTTCCTTTCTAAAAGTCGCTCGATACTATAAGCATGTGTCAACGTTACCTTTTATCGTTGCGTTCAATCTTGTGACGGTTGCCCGCAGCTGTTCAACCTCAGCACTCATGTTGCTGATTTCCACCCTCTGCAGGTCTCTCTCTGCCGTCACATTTTTCAAGCGGCTTTCAAGAAACATTTTCTCTTCAACTGTGGAATTGTAGGAGGCCATCAATTCGTCCGTAGCTTTGGCCAGTGTGGTGTAAATGGCCTGCAGAGTTTCTTTTTCCAACGTTAGGTTTTGGTGACTGCTTGCAATCGTGTCTCTCTCATTGGAGGAGGAGGTGTATCGCACCTGTAGATGCTCAATATCCTTGATCAGAACGTTATAACTCATTTGCAGCTTCTCTTTTGACCTTGTGACATTGTTGAATTTGTTCTGCAAATTGTCTCTCTCTTTAATCACAGAATCGTAGTTGGCCTGTAAGACATTTTTGCTCTTGCCAATCGATTCGTACTTTGTTTGGAGTAAGTCTTTGGCAGTCGACAAGGCATCATTATTAGTCTGCAACTGCTCCTGACTGCTCTTCAGCTGCTCAAGATCTTTTTTTAGAGCAGCGTTACTGGCTTGCAATTTGCTTTGACTGTCTTTCAGTTGATTTGCCTCCGATTTCAGTAAGTCGTTGTTAGCTTGGATTTGATTTGTCCTTTTATATATGAAGTTGTAACTTTGTTGTAAATGCTCATGGCTGACGTCTAGATTCTTCTTCTCGTTTTGTACGGTTTTGAGTTGGGACTGTAGTTTGTCTTTCTCCCCTCCAACAACTTCCAACTTCCTCTGATTGTCTTTGCCCACTTTCCAGTCTGCCACGGAAAACAGAAGACGTATCAAAGTTAAGCAGTCTTACACTGTTGGCGATCTTTTCACATCTGCTGCATGTTTAACAATAAGGTAGACTCACAGTGGACAGATTGACCGATGACCCCAGCCACTAGGACAACACACATCAACCCAAGGATAAGTGTGGCAGCCCTAAAAGGGCTGTTTCTCAATGCATAGACTGGAAAAAAAAGCACATGACACTAGATTTGTTATGTGACATTTATAATTTGTCCATAGAGTCAGGTATTAATGCAGGGGTGTCAAACTCATTTTTGTCAGGGGCCAGATTTTAGTTACTTTCCCTGGGAGGGCCGTTATGACTGAAACCATATAAAGAAGTAATGAATAATGGTTTATTCACCTATTGTTTAAGTTACTGTAATGAGGGGTTTGGTAACAAAAAAAAAATGCTTACAGTGTCACTCTTATTTATTACAAATAAGAATTTGACATTTTGCTAGCGATTTTAGGAAGCATCATGAAAGTTGACATCTTTGATTTGCTTTCGCAGGCCATAGAAAATGATGTGGCGGGCCAGATCTGGCCCCCGGGCCTTGAGTTTGATATCTTGCATTCACGCTTCTGATGGGCTAAAACATTGTGACCACTTGCACATTACAATTGTATCAAAGAGAAATATCTATATAATTGTGTGTGCATGTGTGTGTGTGTGTGTGTGTGTGTGTGTGTGTGTGTGTGTACATTACATATATACATACATATTGTTTTGGATAAGTATGTCACTTAGCATTAGAGGTAAGATGTTAAGCCCAAGCCCGACCCGAATTTCGGGTCGGGTCGGGTCGAAAATGTCAGTCATTGCTTGGGGTCGGGCCGGGCTTCTCTCTCGCTGACTTTTTAAAAATAAATGTATGTTTATAAAAATGTATGCTAAAACGATGTGTGCATACTAAACTAAGGAGTACTTGTTTTAAAATAAATAATTTGGATAAAACAGAGAAGGCGCTGTAAGTAATTGCTATTTAACTACTAAACAGGAGCCGCAGACTCAGACACTTTAAGACTTAAAGTGCCGCGCTAGATTCTTAAGGACGTACTGCTGCTGTGGTTTATTGCCCAATTTTCAACCCGTCAAAATGACGGATGGCCTTAAATTTTTCCCGTCAACTCTTAAAAAAAAATCCGGCACTGATGGAAAATTGTCGGTTAATGTTCCCTCTGCAGAAACAGAAATATAAACGACATAAATATTTATACAGTCTTGTTTGTTTAACTTAGATTTCATTACAAAAGACAGGCTTTAATTTGTTATCATAAATCACCCCTCTTCCTCCCGAGTCCTCACAAATAAAATATGAAATTTCGGGTTTGCTTCGGGCTCGGGCCTGCAAATCAAGTTAATTGGTCGGGCTCGGGCCGGGTCGGGTCAGGCTGGATTTTTTTAGGCCCGATCTTACCTCTACTTAGCATGGCTGCTACAGCCGTGTCTCCACTTCCTTGTGACAGTATACATGGACCCCATTTGGATACATAATTCATGTGACACATCACAAGAAATACACTCACTGGCCCATGTGACCAAATTGCTGCATTAAATGTGAATGTAAATGTGCGATGGCTTTAACCGAGTAACGGCTGCATGGTAATTACCTGATTAAAAAAATAAATAAATACGGAGAGAGCTAATGCGAATTTGAGGACACATTGATCATCAACACTTGGAACGCATGTTCAGACATCAAAGTGTATGCAGTAAAGTGGTTAAGATTGCACGATTGTCTGTGTCTAACGTGTTGTCTTGTATTATTTTGTCATTTTATGTTAACTTTTCTTTTGATGGCGGCGCGGGCACTCGCAGCGGCTCCTCTTGTTGTATGTTGTCTTGAGAGCCAAGAAATTTCATCTATGCTGTATGTTGCACATACAGCACATTTGACAATAAAGTTGTACTTGATACTTGATACGTCTCACGTTGCTTCACAATTGATTGAGCGAGAGGTGCCCCACCCCATCTTGCCACTGAGCGGCACGAAAGAAACTCACAGGGCTAGTTCAGAGTTTTAGTTCTTGTTTCATGGCTGTTGCCATACCTGTATTGCATTTTAGAATTTTCCACTGTTCCTGATTTGACTGGAAGTTTTGGACTTTGCTGTTAGAAGGCAGTGTTCAATGTCTAATGGGGTCAGAGTTGGAAAATCCAGGTTCAGCAATCCAGCAATAATAGCGCATACAAATGTGAAAATTGGATGGACGGGGACACAAGTGCACCGTAATGTATGATTTGAAGGTTTCTTTCTCGCAAAAACCTGTGGTCAATACAGACTTGCCACAAAAAGTTTGGGATATTCTGTTATTCTGCTTTCGGACATTATTGCAGGATGAACCTAACAGAAATATCAACCTTTATTCGGAATTTCAAAAATCAATTTTCTGCTTCACTTGCAATTGGTATTTTGAAACTGTCCTGTGGAGATTAATTTATTTGTTTGTATAAAAATCCATTCTCAAAAGCAACAATATAAAGAAAGTATGAAAAATGTTCTCCTGAAAACTGCTGTCACTGCAATCAAAATTTGTCTACGTTGGCTTTATGTTTACAATACATGATAACAACCCCAAAAAGGTGAACCAGACACCGGGAGTAATAGTTTTAAGGTGAGAAAAACCTTATTTCACAACTCGTATATGGAAAAAAAAATCTTAAATGTACATAATATGTCAAATTTATTTATTTATTTATTTATTTATCAAGCGTAGCAATGACTTAGAATTCTGTTACCTGAATATTTAAGCTTGCTGCCATTCATGATCAGATGCTTGTAGCCGCCATTCCCATCATCGATGTCCATTGCTGTCTCTGTAGAAGTTTGGTACTTCACAGTCATTTTTGCCTCTGCTTCCTCCTTATTGTTGAAGTAAATAGTTGATCCAGGTACAAGTTTTTGCTGTATGAATACATATGATGGCTGTTTTAAAGTGCTCTATAAATACAGTTGAGTTGATTTGAGTTGAGATATAAGCATTAGCATTTGATCTTTAGCACTTTCAATTGCATGTAAGATATAAAATAAGAAGACTTACCACCCCTTGCAGTGTTGATAGAAATTCTCTAAAGTAGATTTGGCCACACTAAGTGAAATTAGAGCAGTTTGTCAAATCGTTCCTTAGCAGTGTTGTCAATACGAATCATAGCCACACTTCATCCGCTGATCTATCCTGTGTCTGTGAGAAATAAACCAGTTTCATGCAGAAGAAATAGATGCAACTGCACAGCAACTCGGGCACTATTTCACAATATGAAACAATATCAGGAAGAAGAGGTTCTACAAACCACAGAGATGCTGAACGTGCAGCTTTTATAGCATCATACTTAGAGGAAAAAAAAAAAATCAGTCCGTTGGTTAACTTTTTGCAATCTGTGTTACAATATTTCTGAGAATGCTGGTTGGATAGACATCACTTTCAACATGTACATCCTGATATTATGCACAATTCCAAGAATTAAAAAAAAATCTAGATTGAATTCTACAAAGTAGGTATACCTTGCTAAAATGCATATTTTAAAAAAAGTCTATGAATCCCTTTTCAAAAGCCAGGATTTTGTGATGACACCAAGATAAATCATTTAAACATTGTCAATACCATTGATGTAACCTGGATACTTTAGCTGTACAAAATTTACTGCCTGTAATGAGTCCCAAACTCTGACATCGGTTGTACAGGGACTGAACAGATTGTATTAGGGGATTCGGTACCCCATACTCCCGAAGCAACCACCACAGAACTCCCCGAAGGAGATGGTCAAATGCCTTTTCCAAGTCCACAAAACCCCTCCTGAGTTACCTGACAAATTGGCAAAAATGTCAAATTACAGCTTCTCCTGGTTCCTGGTGACCAGTGATTTCAGTCTATAATTTGTTGGTGCGGTTTTCTTTAATAAATATTTTTGTCATATATGGAATCCTAAAACATTCTACGGTTCCGTGTGAACCGAACACAAAATTTGGGAACATAGTAAACATGACCTCTCTAAAATGAAGTGAAAGTTTTAAAATAGCTGCTACACCCCCTCTCTTATTTCTTGCCATGTTTCCAAATATGAAGCTGTAGCTGGAAGTAAAGATGATGGTGTGTCTGTGCTCAGCCATATCTCTGTTTAATATAAATATTGTTATTGAAAATGAAGTCATTGACTTGTTGTACTGTATCTTACCTGCTTCGTCCCTATGATCCGAATCTGATTTATTTATTTATTTTTTTATTTTTTTATTGTGACAGGCCTACTCCTTGCAGTGCTTCAATAAATACTCAGAAGCTGCTTTCTCAACACTTGGGGCCGTGGGGGCGTTCGGACCGTTAAATTGGTGTTAAAGAGCTCCATAGCACTGCAACCAATTGAAGTCTTTGGCACACTTCCTCCATTAATCTATCCCGTGTTTGTGAATGTGAGAAATAAACTAGTTTTTGATAGAAGAAACATTTGCACAACAGCAACTTAGTCACTGTTTCACATTATGAAACACTGGCAGGAAGACGCGAGTTTACAAACCAGAGATGCTGAATATGCAGTTGGACAAAAAAAAAAGTGTGAATCAGTTGGTCAGCTTTTTCCAACTTGTATTTTTCACACACAGAATGGGGTGCAGCGCATAATGGGGTTATGCAGGGCATTTGGTACGACTATTATATGTATTTTATTCATCCATTTGGAACATCATCATGTGCACTTCCAATTATTTTAATATGAACAGTTGGGGAAATTATTTTTTTATCCACTGTTGAATGTGTAAGTTTGCTGATTTATAGAGAAAATAAAAACCCTTGAAAATGAATTCGGAGATTTGTTTGTAAATGCGTTATCCAGCGCTGCCTTGAGATAAGAGTGATCTCACGTATGGGTATTTTCGAGATACAAGCCATCCTTTGGCCGATATTTTTGCTTTGATTTGCAAGCGCAAACTTGAGGTATGAGTGGATGGTGGCAGCAAACTCAACTCACTTCACCATTCGAAGTATTGATACAAATGCTAATGATCTGAAGGCCAGTCTCAAAGCATCTTGGGCTACAATAACACCCGAACAATGCCAAATGCTGATCACCTCCTTGCCATGTCACCTTAGTGCTGTCATGAACGCAAAAGGAGGCCCAACATGTACTGTGGTCATATTTCTTTAATACACTTTTTCAGAAGAACATTTCTGTGTTTAAGATCCTCTCATGTTGGTGACATGAAATTTTGTGAAACACTGGATTTTTTTTGTATGTTTCTGCCATAATCATCAAAAGTGAAACAAATAAAGGCTTGCGATATTTCATCTTGTCTATTGTAAAATCATATAACAAACAAGTTTCCCTTTTTGAAACAAATTATTGAAATAAAAGGACTTACCCTTGATATTAAATTTTTTGGGCATATATATATATGCCCAAAAAAAAATATATATATATGTGTGTGTGTGTGTGTGTGTGTGTGTGTGTGTGTGTGTACATACAGGTTATTATTTTTTCAAGATATATTTCATTAAACAGTGAAAGACATGAGGAAAAGGCGGAAAAACCTTTGTGATCGTTGCACGAAGGAGAGGAGGGGATTAAAAGGAAAGAACAGCAGTTCAGAGCATGAAATTTTTTAGGTACGTACAACATACTGCATGAGAGGAAAAGGGGCCAGCAAAGGGAGGAAGTGATAATGTTGATGGAGTTGGTAAGGAACATGATGTGGAGGAACTTTTTTTTTTTTTTTGCTGAGCTTGGCTCCTGACCTCCATGAACTGCTGGATGGACTTTTACAAAGTTTTACTTTAAAAAGTTGCTCAACGGCTCATTTGAGAAAATCTAAAATATTTTGTCCACTTTGCGAAGACGAATTCAAAAATCATATTAATTGTCCTTCTTTGGTGTATCATCTCAGAGCAAAACACCCTCCTCAACTTAGTTATCAGCCTACTCACTTTGTTAGCTTGGGGGCTTGCAAGTCAACGTTGCTGGGGAGCAAAACTAAACCTACAAAGTTGAAACGAAAAGTTTTGAGAATTGCTTTCTATGAGAAGAATATAAGAAAATGACTGTAAAGTTAGCTAGAAAGCTATTAGAACATTCCATCCATCCATCTCTAAGTATCAAAATATACTTTTTACGCGCTGATTTATTTTTGTTGTTGTTGTTGTTAATTCAAGTAAAAAAGAGAAAAAGTGAGTGAGAGAGGGTGTGAGGGAAAGAGAAGTGCATCTTCTGACAGCGTAAGAGTGCCCTGCCGCAAAGTATGCCACAAGCCGATGCTCCAAAAATCGCTTCCTGAAACCCTGAGCTATTTCCTTCCAGTTAACACTCCTCCATCAGGCTATTTCAAATCACTCCACAGACCGTTGGGACAAAGCCTGCTGAGATAGGCATGTGGCAGTGGCATTGTTATGCCTATTTTAGTGGGGCTGCGGGCCGCCCGTGCCCTAAACATTCTTGAGCACCCCCGCGAATGATTTGGTTCAAAACTGCATTTTTACATTCTCATTTACATTACCAAATAATATCTGGGCGGCACAGTGGACAAATGGTTAGCACGTCCGCCTCACAGTGCAGAGGTTCAGTGTTCAATTCTGGCTCCGGCCTTCCTGTGTGGAGTTTCCGTGTTCTCCCCGTGACTGAGTGGGTTTTCTCCGGGTACTCGGGTTTCCTCCCACATTGCAAAAACATGCATGGTAGTTTAATGGAATGGTCCCTCAGTGCGATTGTGAGTGCAAGTGGCCGTTGGTCTATGTGCACGCTGGCAACCAGTTCAGGGTGTACTGCCTGAAGGCAGCTGACCCTTGTGAAGATAAGCAGATTAGAAAATGCATAGACGTGTGTGTGTGTGTGTGTGTGTGTGTATAGATTCAATTCTACTACCATGTTCAATGTGCAAACTTTTCCAACTCAGCACACTCTCCCCACACACCTGAACATTTCAAAAAGTCTCTTACATATGCTTAGCTCCTCCCCTTGGACATCACATGGTCCAATTAGATCTTTATTTACATTAATTTTAACGCAAAAGCACTTTAACCACATTTAGTTCTTACTATAAATTCATAGAAATATGTTTCCACTTTGTTCACAGACAAGTATTTAAAAAAAAAAAAAACATTTCAGTCACCTCACCGCTGAAGCACATGTTCAAGAGCCTTAATTATGCGGCACGTAAGCTTATGTCCATGTAGATGGTGTGTCATGTTCACCTGCAGCGTCTCGTCACCAGTGTGAGCGTGTGTATGTGTGCTAATGTATGTTACAGACCACAGTAATGTTCCCCAGCCCTTAGTGATGGAGCCGCTCCGTCACAGGTGTAAAATGTTTGGAAATCATCTTGGTATCATTTTTTTTTTTCAAAATCAGAAAAACCTGGCATTAGAACAGGGTTGCGTAACTTTTCGGATCCATTGTGTTAAATTGTAATTCAAACATTTTGTATTATGGGGATATCCTGCAATCTAAGAATGTTTCTATGCTTGTTGCCATGCTTTGAATGAAGACGCCACATAGATGAACACTGAACATTAACTGTTTCTCTGTTAGCTCAAGACTTAGGGGCTCAGCCGCATCATCCATATCCATCAGTGGTACAATGGAAAGGAGCCAATGCGCGATCATTTATACACTGTGATGACAGATAGTGTGTGTGCGTGCGTGCGTGCGTGCGTGCGTGCGTGCGTGCGTGTGTGTGTGTGTGTGTGTATATGTGCGTGCGTGCGTGCGTGCGTGCGTGCGTGCGTGTGTGTGTGTGTGTGTGTGTGTGGCATTGAGGGAGGGGGTGTGGGTGAGGGGAGCAGGAAAGATGGTATATAGAGTGACTCAGATGGGAAAACTCCATAAAAGTCTGGTGAGATAAAATAATAATCCACATTGGCACAGCCTGCACACGCCTGTGACATGAGGGTGGGATACGTTGGATTCTATATTTAGCCGTGATGACGCGGGTTAGCCGTGATGCATGGAAAGAGATCCAGGAAAAAAAAATGTGAGAATGGAGAAAGGGCGACTTTGCTTCAACACGAGCAGCAAACAAGATGGAAAGAAACGGAAATTCAAGACTTAAATTAATATTACGTGCATGTACAAAAGAAACTGTCACAGAATGTAGCAGTTACACCCAAGAGTCAATTAGTAATGAAACCTAGCCTTATACAGAAAGATAAGATAAGAAATCCTTTATTAGTCTTGCAATGGAGAAATTCCCAATTCACAGCAGCAAAGTTATGAAAATAAGTAGTAGAAGAACAAAATATAGGAGCTGCTGGAAAGGCAGCCACTCTCGCGGCGCCATCTTTAAGTCA